AGAAGACCTGAGCTGGTGCACTCTCTCGTGAAACACTCCATGTTTTATCTTTATTGGACTCAGGACTCTGTTACTTTAATGGATCTACTTCAGATTTAATTGATATACCTACAGATTTATTTAGTGTCTCCCTCCTACCACTGCTACCAATTCCACTTCAAGGGCATCTGTCCTTTTAAAGTTAGTATGTTTGTGTTCCTCCTGCAGAGTTGGCACAGCCACATAACACTTCTTAATTCCCTTTTCCATCTCCCTCCTTTCCCCTCCCCCTCCATCTGTTGATCCCCTTCCCAGGCAAGATCTAGCTCCCTAATTAATGCTATCTGCCTTTTATTTTGCTCTTTACTTATAATTTTGGGTATGTGTGTCTGCTTTATTTCATTGAACAGGGTGGTCTCTATTCAGTGTCTTTCTCTCAGGGCTGAGAACAGATCCTGGCTTGTGCTAAGTCTTCAATGTTCATGGATTTAGAAGGCCACATTTGCACTCTAAATCCAGCTCCTGCTTTTTATTCATTTGCTATAGATTCTGCTATTCCAGATACTGGACACAGAACAGTGGACAAAGCAGGCAAAGTCTCTACCACTTAGAGTTTATATTCAAGTGAAAAGACAGATAGTCAACAATGGAAAAAGTATATACTATATGAGAAGAGTTATAAAGAAATTATAGTGCAGAGTAAAGGAGGAAAGATTGATGTGTGGGTGGGTGGAGAAGATACCTCTCTGATAAAGTGACATTTGTGAGCAGAGATTTGAATGAAATGCGGGTGTAAGTCAAGCCGCTACAGGGCTGAATAGTGTCTCAGGCAGGTGGAACGTAAGCACCGAGACTGCACGACAGTGTGTTCGGCAAGGTCACAGAGGAGCCGAACGGCCAGTGAGGCTGACTGCAGAACAAGGGGGAGTGGCAGGAAATGACATGGGGGAGAGGGGGAGAGGGAGCTGGTGCCTGGTGAACCAGCATGGCTTGTGGGATGTTGTAAGAACTTTAGATGGGGATTTTCCGGTAAGATGGGAAGTGAATGGATAACCTGGACATTTTAGGAGGATGCCTGGTTACTAGTGGAAGGCGCAGACAGCGGATGTTACAATGTTCCAGAGATACCCTGAAGGAGGGTAGGGTAAGTAGGATGGATGAATCTGGAGGTAAACAGACTAAATCACAGGTTTGGGGGGGGGTGAGGAAAGAATCAAGGCTGATCCCAAGTTTCTGACCTGAACTTATGGTAAGGAGGGTTGTGATTACTGCGCTTTCCTCCAGGTAAGCCGAGCTGAACGACACAGACATAGGTGGAGCAGCTCCACAGGTTTGCCGGGGAATAAACGGTATTGAGGCTTCGTGCCAGGGATAGGAGCCCTGACAGAAAGGGGGAGCACAGGAGAGCGCAGGAAAGAGCACAGGGCCAGGCAGGAAGGACGGGGAGATGGCGCGTGGTCAACAGATGATGGGCTCCGGGCGGTGGAAGAGGAGGCGGCCATGAGCTAGCAGGAGTGAGAGGGGCACAGCAGAGGCAGGGCTGGAAAGTGAGTAGCCACGTTCTCTCTCGGTACCATAAAATCCCCTTTCCCAGTCCTGCATAACGCTCCAGGAGAAAGGAAGCAGTGAGAGAAGCCAGCTCTCCATCTGCCCGCCCATGTGTCTACCGCGCTGTCTGTTAGCATCCGAGTCTCATTCACTTCTGCCTGCTCCGTGTCTCCCTCCCTGTTCCTGCGTGGTAGGGCACAGGTCCCACTAGGGCCAGGGCTGCACAGCAGGACGTGAGCGGCAGGTAGCAATCAAAGCTGCACCTGGACATACGGTGGCTGCCATCACCCCAGGAGCATTAGCTTCTCATAGGAGAGTGAACCCTACTACGAAGCACACACCCCAGGGATCTAGGTTGCAGACTCCTTTGATTCACCCCAAATCTACCCCCTCCGTCTCTGGTCCATGGAAAAATTATCTTCCACATAACAGGTCCCTGCTGCCCTGAAGGTTGGGGACAGCTGTGGTAAGGCTCTTTGTTCTTAATGATGTGTTGAATGCTTTGTTATATTTATCAACCATCTTGTTTTGTTCAAATGATAGATCATAGAAATTGGGAATTACTGGGGCCTTGTAGATGATGTAATTCAACACATTCTCATTTATTTTGGGGGTTATCACAACTAGAGGTTAAAGAATTTTCAAAGACAGATATGCAGTTGAACACAGAACTCTGAGTTGCTCCAAGATTACCTGATTGCTGACCTAGATTCCTGATTCCACCATGCCATTACTGCCAGCTCTTTTCCTGGTTTTCTCTGGATGCATTTAGGATAATATCATTTCTTTTTTCCTTTAAACCCTTCCTGTCTTTATTTATGTGCTATTAGGTAGTCTTCACTGCACCCTGGCCCATCAATGATGACTTGAAGCCTTCCTTCGTCAGGAAATTAAGTCTCCCAAAGGGACCCCCAAATTGTGCCTATTGGTTGATGTCACTGCCCAATTTTCTCCATGTTTGATGTTCTCACTGGACCAGGTTGTCATCTCTGAAGCTACGGGAGGGAGACGGAATATTGCCTAGGGTGCAGCACCCACCAGGACACAAAAGTATGCACACCCAATGTGCTTCCTGTGAGCTGCAGCCCCCGGGCTCAGGCACCTGTGGGAAGGGTGGTCCCCGTGGAGCAATGGCCCTCATGGGATGCCTGTGCCACAACACCGGGACCTGCCTGCCCACAGTGCTCCTTGGTGGGAAAGTCCCTTAGCGCTAACTCAATGAGCCTTTGGTTTTAGTGTCTGTCTAGAATCTCAGCACACTGCTAAGGAAAATAGTTTTGGCTTAGGACCTTTGCATCCCTAATTATATGACAGTATGGATACCACGCCACCCCCTCTGTCCTCATAAACATTCCTACCATGTCTCCAAACTGAACTCCTTCCTCTCATTTAGAAGGAAAACCGCAATGCAAGTAGTGAGAGAGGTCAGGACAATATCCATACACAAACAGCCTGGGGGGCCAGAGTCACACGCTGCCCTCTGACCGCTTTCTCCCTCCTTGTCCTTTCTCTTGCCACACACACCCCAGCTCACCCAACTCCGTGTTCTTCTTCCACGTCCCTCCTCATCCTCACACATCTCTCAAAACACTGAACCAACCGATGTCTGACAAACCCTCCGTTTCTGCTTTTGCTTGTTTTTTTTAAGTAGAAGAGCTGGAAGGCAGGAGCGTCCAAGCATTATCTCAGTCCTGACACCAGTGCCATTTGGCTTCTCAGTAATCCAGAAGCCCCACGTTGGAAGTGACCCTAGAAGTTCACCAGCACTAGACTGTATCCAACATGAGCTCATCCAGTCTTGATGTTCATGTTGTAGATAATGTGTGGTCGCCTGTTTCCTTATGTGGGAAACATACACTATTTTCCTCACACCAAGGTGAAGTTTTGTTTGCTGTAGCATTTCCCACACCCCCACCCTGGAATTTCTAAAGAGACTACCGTGAAGCTGGACAGAGAATGTCTATGGCTTCTGATTCATGACATCTGTCCAGTGCTCTGGAAGAACTATCAGGTCACCTCTATGTTCTTATTCCTACCTTAAAAGTTCCCTGTTTCTCTGACGTTCTTTGTGATACGATTTAGCGTTTGTTAAAACCCAATGCTCTCCACTGAACGTATTCCAATTTGTCTCTTAACATATGTGGCCAATTTGCTGAACATAAGGCTCAGAATTACTGAGCAATAAAAAGAAACGGGGAGACATGCGGCAACATGGGTACATCTTGAAAATCTCATATTAAGTGAAAGAAGTCAGTTACAAAAGACTGCATATGGCACAGTTCCTTTTATATAAAATGTCAAGAATGTGTAACTAGAAAGGGAGGGGGGAACTTAGAGCAACGGTCCTCCAGGACTGGGGAATGGAGGGACTTGAAGGGGCTGGCGGACCGATGCAGGATTTTTGTTTGGGGTGCTGAAAACATGTGACAATGGATTATAGTCATGATTCCACAACCCTGTGAATACGCTCACAGCCACTGAGCTGCTCATTTTCACTGGGTAAGTTCTAGGGTCTGTGATTTAAATCTCAATAAAATAGCTAAAATAAACAGATGATGTTCAGAAGGAAAAACAGTGCTCTGAAGTAGAGTACCCTAACCTCTGTCACTTAAATTTTACTGTTTCACTCTATAAAACAGATGAGTTAACAGTATGTGCCCCGTGCCCTTGATACGGCCATTGAATCATACTTCACAACATCATAATTATGTGAGTCATTAGTCTGAGCATCTCTTACCCCCTCGCACATGGGTTCTTAACGCCATCCACGGCTTGGTTACACATCTGCTTTACACAGGATGGTAAGAGAGCTTTGAAAAAAAACCATCTATTACTCAACTCAGGAAAATGAAGGGACACTTGTACTAACTGCACAAAGTCCGACTCTTACCTTCCTATGCAGGGCTCTACTACAGTTCTTTTCCACAATGCTTCGCAGTCACTACATCTTAATGATAATATAATCGCTATTTTCTGTGTACCTTTTGCTTATTAACCCCTTCAGCAGGGTACGTCTGACCTAGTTTAATGTATCTCTAACTTGTCTCATGTGTGTCTCTCTAAATTCGCAAGTTGAAGTCCTGCGAGGACACAGTCAGACGATGGCCCGCGAGAGCCAGGAAGAGGGCCCTAGTGGAGAACTCAGCAGCTGCCCGAGAACCTTAGACCTCGCGGCAGCCAGAGCGCTGACACCGTCCCACCGCGGTGCTGCTTAGGGCGCCCACGCTGAAGCTCTTCCGCCACCTCCTTCACTGTGCTTTTGCGGACCGTTTTTTCCCGGAAGACCCTCCCACACCCATCAGCCCGCTTCTGCGCATCGTCTTAGCTTTGCTTCATGTATGGCCAATTTACACCTCTTTCTCTTCTGTGCATTCTAACTCCTCGCCTACGTGACAAACTTTTCAAGTGATAGGGGTAACGTGCACAGTTCTGGCACAACCTCCCTCGTGCAGGTATGTTCTGTAGTCGTCTCCATGACAGCCGTGTGTCTGATCCCTCTCTGGAGCAAACTGCGGGCTCTCCAATCCACTGGCCGGAAGCTCACTGGACAGATGACAACCGAGGGTCCCAAAGGGGAACACCCAGGCCCCGTGCTGCCTGCGAGCTCCTGGGGAGCAGTGGGAGCGCCGGGAACTACGGGGGTCCCTGTGGTTGCCACCCCAAGCTCTCTCCGGTTGTTTGTTGGGCGAGGCCATTGGAAACCTTGGGGCAGGCCGGCACTGCGTCTGACGAGTCCAGCAGTTGGACCCCGGCGGGAGAACCCAGAAGGAGGACCGGGCGCCCCAGGCCTGGTCCCGGCGACCCCTCCCGAAGCTCTCCGGCCTGACGCTGCTGTCCCCGTCTCGGGAGCTCAGCCCGCTCTTCTCAAACGGTTTTTAGGAAAACAAGACTTGCAGATGGAAACCAAGCGCAACTTCCCAATTAATGCACGGAGGAGCAGTTTTCTCTGCCGGGGTTGCGCCTTCTCACTGTTGCTCGCTCTTCCTGTACTGTCCGCGGTGCAGAGCTTGGCCAGGACCCCAGACAGGGACCCCAGGCGGGGACCCCAGGGGGGCCCCAGGCAGTGACCCCTGGAGGAGACCCCAGGCGGGGCCTCATGCATGACCCCAGGCGGGGACCCTTTGCGAAACCCCCAGGCGGGGACCCCAGGCAGAGACCCCAGGCGCAGCGTCCGCGGCCGCGCTCCCGCCCCTTTTCTTCCGTCCTCGGCCTCACATCTTCCGAGCTTGTGACGAAACCCTTCAAAACGCGGTCTGCTTAACAGAAACAGAGGGTGCGGGCGGCTGCAGGCAAGGTGTCGCCGCGGGAGCTGAGACGCGGGAAGCCGCCTCCGCGCCCAGCGCGCGGGGAACCCGCGGTCCGGACTCGGACTCCGCCC